AGATTTGGGGAATCGACGAGGAAATTGTAAACGCGAGCTCGCGCGCGTCTCCACAAGGACAACACGCGGCAGACTCGTCGGCGAGCTCGCGACCCATTAACGCGTTATTAAATTGCCACAATTAGCCAACGCTGCGCCGAGCAGTCGTCGCAACGAGGAGATCGTGACACGCGCGGGGTCGAAGATCTAGGTGTCGGTCTCTCCCTCCCGAGACCGAACGGAGAAGAAGCCTCTCCTCGGTCGCCCGGCGACGTTGGCGCGTTCTCCAGCCCGCCGTCGGACGACAGAGCTCGCGGCCAGGTGGACCAGAGACATCGAGGAGGAGTTGCCGCGACCGCCCGGCCGATAGCTGCCGGCTCTCCGGTGGCGTCGCCAATTGCCGACCAATTTACCTACCCCCGCATCCGGTCATGCGATCTGTCGCGTCAAACGCCTCGTACAAGCAGCCGGCACCGCTTCTGCGGAGGGTACGAGACGGAGAGAGAGCGAGAGGCTCTCGTGACGCAAACAACCGGCCGTGTCCCCTGGCCCTTTCTTCCTTCTCCGTTGCGTTTCGCGCGAGAAGCTGCTAAACGAACGATCGAAGAAACTAGGCAGGTTCCCGGTGCGCGTCGCCCCGTCGACTACGAAGGGTGTACGAGCCGCGTGTATTTGCACGCTCCGGATTTACGCAGACGTATGACGCACGGAGGCAACTCCTGTCCTTCCGTTCCTCGTCGACGACGTGCCGGTTTCCGCGCGCGTGTGCCTCGTCACGCACCCCCTTGTTCCTCCTCGCGGCGCGAGGCGGCGTCGGAAAACGCGCCTGCCTCCGTTGTTTGGATGGTTGGGCGATAGGAACCGTAAGGCGGCGCACGGAGGAGAGAACGGCACGAAAGCCGCGGTCATATCAATGGATCATTTTCGAAGTGTGTCAGGGTGATAAAATATGCGCGCGCTCGCGCGCGCGGCCGCGCGTCGTTAAATCGTCCTACGGGCGCGTGCACTGCCCTTGACAATAACTCTCGACCGTCGTATCGGTGACGACCGAGCTCCCATATTTCCATGCAATTTACCTTTTGCGTTTCACGCAGACATCAAAAGTCCGTGAGTGGCAATTTGCTTAAATGAAAGTTCGTGTTAAACCCATTAACGACCATTATTTGCCGAGGTTGATCGACGCTCGATGAGGATTTCGTTTGCTCTACGGGAACTCTAGTCCA